CTCTGGCCAACAACAAGACTAAACTCACAAGTAAACACCTTTTAATTTACCTCAACCTAGGGCTGTGCAATTAATCGTATTTTAATCGCAATTACGATTTTGGCCTGCCACAATTACGAAAACAACATAATCAAAAAAAACTATTATTTTGCTTTGCTAGATTGCAACATATTTGATCTCATTTATTTTTGGCCTAATTTATTTGTATTTATCATATTTATATATGTTTAGTAGCTTGTGGAAGTGCGCTCCAAAATATTTGTTGATCTTGTTTATTGGTATTTATTATTTTGATATTATTTATTTAAATGTAAATGTATAATTTATTTTATTTATTTTTATATTGGTTTTTCAGTTGAATTTTACGTTCAGGGTAATCAGCAGTTAAAAAGATACTGTTCAAATTATTATTTGTTTTAAAGTTCAATAAATGGATGTTTTCAAAGTCAATGAATAATCGTATTTAATAATCGTGATATCAATTATTGACCAAAAATAATCGTGATTATGATTTTTGCCATAATCGAGCAGCCCTACCTCAACCCTTGTTTCTTCTTTTAGAAAATGGACAAGTCACACACATTTACACTGCACAGCACACACTGAAATATAAGTCTCTGCATTTCACCCATCCTCGACTTTAAGCACTGGGCAGCTATTATACAGCTGCCCAGGTGTATATTTGTCTTGCACAAGGGCAGCGCCAGGGAGGTAAACTTGCACCTGACAAAGAACTGGTCCTCTCTCCATACTTTGTCCGTTCTGAGACTTGAACCAGCAACCCTAGTCAAGTCCCTGCTGACTGAGCTACTGCCGCCTTTTTAAGGGGGCAAGAATGCATGAATTTGTTTTCATTGCTAAGCCTTGAGTCGAGAAGCTTTCAAACAACTGGGATTTTATGAACTCAGATTCAAGATTTGCACACAGCTCCAAACAACAGTCAGTGGTTATTGTGTGTTCCCCATTAAGTGCTATTTTAAAGTACTTTTTTGTTATATTACCCTCCTGGTGGATATCTCTGCTAACAGCAGGTAGATCAGTGTCTTGTCACGTGTCGTGGACCTGTGTCTAAACAGGATTTCCTGCCAACCATCAGCTGATTACACACTTTCAAGCTGAGCGGAAGCAGAATTAGTAGAAACCATGAATGTTTGCATTGACTTTAAATTCATTTTGTGTTTTCTTGTTGTGTTTTACCCTAACATGTCTGTGTTGCTTTTAGTTTTCAGCTGCATCATCGGCTTTATAATCGGCCTCCTCTTCACCCAGCGCTGTGGAAACTACTTTGTGATGATGTTCGATGATTACTCTGCCACTCTGCCCCTCATCATTGTTGTGGTTTTTGAGACCTTCAGTGTGTCTTGGCTGTATGGAGCTGATAGGTGAGGTCTAATTTCAGACTATGGATAACTGTCTTCTTAGCTTTTGAAATCTTAATATCCATGTAGATGTCTCTGAGTCTTATCAGTGTTTGTAACAAATGTGTAATATGTACCACTCTGGGTGTCTGAAGGTTCCTGGATGACATTGAGGGGATGCTGGGCTGGCGTCCTCATGTGATCTACAAGTACCTGTGGAAATACGTCTGCCTGCTCGCTATGCTGGGGCTGCTGGGCGCCACCACCATCAGCATGTTCCTCCAACGCCCCACCTATATGGCATGGAACCAAGAGAAGGTATGTTAACACTGAACATTTTTTTGAATTTGTTCTGGAAATAATTGTCTCTGCTTTCTAGACGTTTGTTAGTTTGTGCAGCCATACATGTTTAAGACAGCCCTTAAAAGGCAAATTGTCACTCCTTACTAAATTCCCAACCTGAAGCATATAACTAATGGTTTATTTCTCTATGTATTTCTCTGAGTAGTCATAAGTTCCACTTGTTTCAGACCTTGCGTGATTTTGATTTTGATTCTATTTTCTCTTCTTCAGGGATCTGAGGAGTACCTCGAGTACCCGGACTGGGCTCTGGCTGTCATGGCCTTGCTGATCATATTTGCTGTGATGCCCGTCCCGATAGCATTGATTCACGCTGTCCTGATGGACTGGTCAAGACAAAGAGCCAGAGATTCAGAGGCCGGTCAGTACAGCATTGTTAGCACCGACGATAAATGTGAAACTCCAATGACTGACATGTCAGACCTGGACCGAAGTAACGGGAGTGCTGCTTCCTGAACACTGGACCTGACGTTACACACTGGGAAATGAAGTGGGCAATCTTGAAGGATAGTTGCATTATCTCTTTAGGTCAGCGGTGGCCCAGAAAGCAATCGCAAAGTGAGATAAAATGTTCCTTAATTTAATATTTAAAACTTTTAAAACCTAGATTAAGTCAAAGTATCAAGAGGACTAAATACTACTGCTCCAAAAAGTAGACATTTGAAAGTGTTTTCTATGAAAAATGTGGAACAAATAACTTAGGACTTCCAAAAACTCATTGTTACAGAGTTGCGAGAACAAAGTCTCCTATTTCATTCAGGATAGGCCATAGGCAGCACGCCATGTTCATGCATTCCTTAGTTATTTACCAATGGTAAAGTTGTAAATGTACCTAAAATATCCTACATTGTTCACATTTTTTTAAACGCGCTTTTGTGTGAGACTGATCTCCTTTCAAGAAAATCAAACAACTTTCACTCCTTGTTTCTTTGAGGACAGATGAACATCAAACCACTGTTACGTCTGTTCAAGAGTGTGTTTAAGGCTCTTGTGTATTGGTGGTTTTCTAACCTTTTTATAATGAACTTATACGGCACAGTGATTGTGTATATTTCTCTAAAAGTGTTGATAGGCTAAGATTGTAAGTATGTGGAGTTACAAAAAAAAGTTGAGCCTTAATTTAAACAATGGCAGCACAGTGATGATGCTCCTGTTGTATATTCTCGTCAAAGCCAAGCAGCTATAGTTGTAAAAGTCAGGCTGTTACATGAGGAGAGGGTCAATCCAGCTATAATGACATTAAATTCAGCTCTTGGGTCCAGCATCAGGGCAATTAGTATTTCAGTAATTCCTTTTCATACAAATGATTGCGATGAACAACCTTTTTCATTTACTTTTTACCACACAGCAGTGCCGTTGTCTTTGGCTTTGCAACTAGACCTGTGTTCATGTTGTTTTTTTTCAAAGGCTACTCATCAAATGAATGTGATCAATGGCTAAAATCTAGTCAATTCATTTCCGAACAGTTTTCTGAAAAATGTTTTCATCTCTTGCTCTGCTGCACAGATTCACTTGAATAGCTTGTCCGTAAACTGTTGCGTTGGTATGTATAGAAATCAGGTTTTTGATTGTAAAACTTAACGGTACAAGGGCTGATTTTCTCTCTGCTACAACCGCCAACAGCAGCTAATCTTAATGCATCCACTTCTCTTTCCCATTGCTTTACCACTCTCAGAACACACAGACCTATTTCATGGTGTCATTGAAGCTTTTTATGTGAATTATCTAGTTTAAAAAAAGTAGATATCAGGTGACAACTTCAGCATAACTTTCCGTGGAGCTTTTAAACACTACCCCAGAAAAGACTCGTTTATCTGTTACTATTTGCTTTGTAGGCAAATGACAAGTACTGTCTGATGAAAATGGAAGAAGTGAAGGTCCAACCGCTTTGTGTCCGGGTTTTGTTCCTGAGATTTGAGCCTTTTCCTTAGGTAGACCATTAATTTGCCTCAACACAGTCGATGGAAAGACACCCAAAATAAATTCCCTGAAATCTAACAATAATGGAACATGATCACAGTCAGCTGTAATAATTGCAAAAGGCCTACACGGTATTACTGCTAGTAACTACACATCAAAACATATTTATTTCAACAATTATCGACTGATTTGTCAAACACAGTATGGTACAAAGATCAAGGTAACCCCATTTGTAATGTACATATGTATATAGTATATAGTACATAATGTAGAAACTTCTTAAGAACAAATGTCAGAGAACAAGTCTGGGACTTTCTGTCGTGTCTTATTTGTAAATTAGATATTAGCATGAGAGATTTTTTTTCTTAAGCTCTGGTTTAGGAGGAACTAGTTGCATGTTTGTTTAAAGAGGTTATACGAAGCCACTGACCAGATACAGTCCTCCTTTACTTCAGAATTAAATGCACTAATTCATGTTTTTTTTCTTTTAATATATATTGTTTAGACTTGCTAGGTCATCATTGTCTTTTAGAAGCCATTTTTCTGAATTTAAAGTAGATTGTTTTACATTTGTATTGTGTTTCTATCAGAATGAATAGAATTGATGCTGTATATTTATGTGCCTTCAGACTAGATTAGGCTGACCGGACAACATGCTTAAGGTATTGAATCAAATATATGTTGTTAAAAGCACATTTCCTTTGGCTGACTGTCTTTGTAATTGTTAGTCTGTATAAAATGGATTTTTCTGAGAAAATGTAATATATTTTTGCTTTTATTAAAAACTTTGTTTCATCACAACAGTATATTGAATTGTGAATGTTGCTTAAGCCTGCACATTTTAACATTGCTCCAACAAGGTATCAGACTTGTTAGATGGTTTTCTATTTTCTCTTTAAAACTGGGTTTGTAAATCCAAATGAATTCATATCAGTGCTTTTAAAGTAGTTGAAAAGACTACAGAGAAGTTGCTTTTCCACCGTCTTAGGTATGCTATGTTTTTTTGTCTGCTGATACATCTTTCCCAAAAATATTTTGAGGTATGTACAGTACAGCTTCCTGGTGATTATAGCTTATGTTGAGTTTTTTTAAGGGGCAGAAATATGTATGACAGCTCCAAAGTTGAGTTAAACCGTCGTTGAGAGGCAAACATGTAAGCAGATCCCTCGGATTGTAATGTTTTCTCTATTTACTTTTCAGGCTTTCTAAGCATGTACACATTTACCTTTTGAAAACACAAGTTATCCTTAAAGGGCTTCACTACGGAAACAATTGGTGGTTACAGTTTGTACTTAAAAGCTCAGAGAAGCTGGCAATTTAACAGGATAATGCAATCCTTCCACCCAAATCCAGCCTTGCATAATGCTGTTGCCCTCTTGCCCCATTATCAGTTTGTTAAAGGTGCAGCTCATCAAGACTGAGGTAAGGGAAGATGTTCTTATTGACCTGTGACCTGCCGCTCTCTCTGACTGTGTGTTTAAGTGTATCTGTAAACGTTGATCAGCTCCTTCTTGCTGAACACATGCAGGTGTCCTGATGCATGTTGCTCAAGGCCATCTAGAAGTGTTGGTGCATCTGAACCAATGTCGCTTAAAGTGGACCTATCATGCTATATTTTAATAATATAGTGTAGGACCATACCTGTATAAGGCATATTTATACTTAATACCAAACAGATCATGCATTTTAGCCATGTCTCATTTCGCTCAATTTGCACTTTTTTAGCCCTGTTTTTGCAAGGGCAGATTCTGTGAGAACAGCACCATCTACTGGCCTGGCATATGTACTACAACGTCTCCAGCGCTTTCGAACGGCAATGGCCGTGGCTGTCTCCTCCTGATTGGTGGAGTTGGCCCAATAGCCGTAGCGCCACTGTCCTGACGTCAGGACAGTGTTCAAATCTGGATCAGTTTGTATCAGATCCGTTGTAGCCCCTTTTTTAGAGATTTGGGTATGGAGGAAAATAGAGAGGGTTGTGTTTTCTGACACTTGGTGAGTTCCCTGGAACACCGGGGACACATATTCATGTATAAAAGACGTACAAAAGTGCATTTTGCATGATAGGTCCCCTTTAAGCTTCTGAAACACTGTTCTGACTGTTAGACGCAGTGAAGAATTGGCACATGTCTTTCTCTCTTTATTTCTATTACTTCCTCTTTTAAATGTTCAGTTCTTGAGTAGTTTGGGTGTCTAGATGTTGTCCTACAGTGTTGCTGTTACATGCAATGTGACCCGCCACTTTCTATTGCCAGTTTTATCAAATTGGATTAAAAAAAAAAAGTGAAGATCATATGAACATTTGTAAGGATTTAGTAATGTAAGGTATGACCCATGTTGTCTATTTAAGAATATTTGTTAAGCTACAGCTTAAGCGTAGTTTGAAATAAATATCAGTGTCTTCCAACAATGCAACAAGATACTTGATACATAAAGAGAAATATAGTCCTATATATGATTTTAATTTAATGGAATAAAAAACTGAATGTAAAATGAAATACTCAACTATAGATTATGTTGGGGAAATATTTTCCAAGGCCCATAACTTGACCCAGTTGATCAGTTCATACTGTCCTGACTGAGCACACGCACCTGTAACAGGCTGCTGTGCTCTCAGTGTTTTGTCTCCCTGTTCCTGCCTGTTGGCGTCACCTGATAGAGGTGTTATCATTCTATCTTGTTAATGCACAATGTTGATTATTCTCTCTGAACTAGCTAAATACACAGGTCTGGGGTACAGTTCTTCAGAATTGACGTGGCATCTCAACCGAACCGTGTGGTCAAACCGTGGCCCATGACTTGTGATTTCTCCGGCCGAAGCTCCAAATAAACCGTCAGTGTTTGCCATCAAAGCTCCAGCTCTCCATCATGTCTCTCTTTCAGTCCTGACTCCAATTGCTTCAGAAGTTTCCCCCACAGATTATATTTGTATTAAAAAATGTTCACATTCCTCTGACTTCTGCACGTCTGCACAATACTACCACTTGACTTGTCATGGTTATTTCTGAACCATTCTTTTTAATTCATATTTGTCTTTTATAATACTTCTATATTTGCTCTTTTCTTACATTTGAATTCCTCTGAATATCCCTGTGGGTGAAAACCTTAGATAAATAGTATTATTGCTTACTGGAGTCAGATTATAATGGCTTTTATCGTCTTGTGTTGACTAAGGGTATGATCCTCCACAGTCTCAGTGCAGTGGTTCACATGTTGACCGGTGTCTTTCCTTTGTTCTTCCGCCCTCTCTCAGATGGAGAATCAGGGGTCAGTGGGATATGTTGGAGAGGAGATCCAGCCGGTTCCCTCTGAGCCTGCAGCTCGAGCCGGGTGGAACAGAAAGATGGACTATATTCTGGCTCAGGTGGGGTTCTGCGTCGGGTTCGGCAACGTCTGGAGGTTTCCATATCTGTGCCATCAAAATGGAGGAGGTGTGTATTGTCATCGGTGTGAGATGACATGGGATTGAAAGAGCAAAGAGAGATTATTCCATGCATGTGAATTAAATACCAAAGTGTTTATAGACTTTTGAACTTTCTGGATATGATACTAATCACTGCTGCTCTGCGGCTGATGTTCTAACATCTGGATTATATTTTATTCCAGGGGAAATGTGGCTACTTTAGTAAAACATAAGGAAAGGTCCGAAACATAGAATCAACACCGACTGTGTTTTAAGATTAAGACATGGAACAAGGCTCCCCTATGTTAACATTTATCTCAACCATTCAGATACCCCAAATGAGCCTCTTGTGTCCTATTTATCCTGATTTTAAAAAGAACATTGTGTTGCAGGTGTCAGTAATAAGAAGGTTTTGACTACAAACATTTGCTTCTTGTTAACAGAGTAACTAATTGTGCTGCTCCCCCCTTGTCCTCAGGGTCTTTCCTCCTCCTCTATGTGCTGCTCCTGCTGATTGTGGGGATCCCCCTGTTCTTCCTGGAGCTGGCCACCGGGCAGGCCATCCGACAGGGCAGCATCGGGGTGTGGAAGTTCATCTCCCCCCGGCTGGCAGGGATCGGATACTCCAGCTGTGTGGTGAGAAACTGACACTGTCCACCGCCTTCTGCTAAAGATATGTACTCAGTTCAGTTTATCATGTTAAATCTTTTCCAGGTGTATGTGCTACAGTAGCCACTGTCTCAAAGCATAGTGCTATATCTGAAGGGTGAGGAAGTAGTTATATATATATGAAGTAGCTGCAAGGAAGCAGGCTGTATCTGTCTTTGCATAATCATCAGGCAGCTCTATTACTCGGTTTGTCTAAAACTGTTTGTTTTTTCTTGTTCACTTTTTTGAAACATGGTTAATGGTATTTGCACAATAGTTAACCCTTTTCAAATATTTGTTTTGTCCTCAGGTGTGTTAAAAATCATCGTATAATCTTCTCATAACCTGATGATCTTGTCCTCACATGTCCTCAGGTGTGTTTCTTCGTGTCTCTCTACTACAATGTGATCCTTGCATGGAGCCTGTTCTACCTCGGGAACTCTTTCCAGTCGTCTCTTCCTTGGGAACACTGTCCAGTAGAGGGGAATGTGACGGGTAAACACACAGCATTACGGTTCAAAACTTATAACACATGAGGAGTAATTCAATTGTAAATGTATAGGCATGGTGTCACGTGAAAGACTGATGATTTATTTGTATTTCCCTTGTCTTGACACCAGTACCAGAATGTAAAAAGAGCTCCCCCACATCGTACTTCTGGTACCGTAAAGCTCTGGATATCACCGACTCCATCGATGAGACGGGCTCTTTCAACCCGTACATCGTCGGCTGTCTGCTGGCCGCCTGGACCCTCGTGTGCCTGGGAATGTTCAAGGGCATCAAGACCTCTGTCAAGGTAACCCTGTTGTGACTCCCTGTGACTACTATCATTGAAGCTGTGATGTCAAAAAGGTTTGTTTAACAGCTCCCAGGTGATTCAGTAGAGATGTGATTATCAGTGTGTAGTCTGTGTTGTTTTCTAGATATATACATTATAATTGACAGAAATATAAAGTACTACCATGGCACTGTGATATGGTAGGTCATGTTTATCGTTAACAAATATGTGAATGTAATACTGTATCAGGTGTATAAATGATTACCTGCATGTATGTAATGGTAAAGCTAATATCTGAGTGGAATTCCAATACGGCTCTAGTTAACATCACTAGAGAAAAGCAGCAATAGCAGGGAATTTTATTATATACAGTTTATAAAAGCTCACGTAATGTAGCTTAGCCATTTTAAGGAAGTTGTCTGCTGGAGCACAGTTTACCAATAGGACTGTGAGCTTCCAGCTCACGAGAGGAATCAAATATGACGGATGGGAAGAATGGTTTGAAAAACAAGCAGAGTTTATTTCAGTAAACACAAAAAAGGGGCTCCCATGAACCCTGGTCTGCTCCTCTATTTCCCGAGGTGGCTGGGCGAGTCACGGTCCTCCTCCCAGGACCCAGTCTACTGCAGGAGACCAGAACCAGGTTACCACATGCTTTTATTGAGTGACTGATTACCTGATTCTGATAAGCTGTCTGGTCTCCGGCCGAGCCCCCATCACTCCAGCAGCCGGCGCCCTAACCACACCACGCTGCCACAAGGACATTTTTATAAAAAAGGATGGGGAAATAGTTATTTTTCTGTGTGCCTTAACCAAAAGACGAATGTTTACTGGTAGCTCGACGTATTCACTTGTTAATGTTTCTTACTCTCTTCCTAGGTGATGTATTTCTCCTCCATCTTCCCCTACGTGGTGCTGTTCTGCTTCCTGGTTCGAGGCCTCATGCTGGACGGGGCTTTAGAGGGAATCGGCTTCATGTTCTACCCAAAGGTATCTGCAGACAAAAGGCCTGGTTGATTATAGAAAAGAGAGGCTTATATACATATTTCTGTAGCACACCTACTGTTGTATTTATTCCTCTCTAGCTGGAGATCTGGGCCGACGTGCAGGTGTGGCGACAGGCAGCCACTCAAGTCTTCATTACATTTAATCTCGGCCTTGGCTCGAACATCGCTTACTCCTCCTATAATCCCAAAAAAAACAATTGCCATCGTGATGCCTTCACTGTCTCCACGATTAACTTCCTCACCTCTGTGCTGGCCACTCTGGTTATGTTCTCTGTGCTCGGCTTCCACGCCAAAAACAAGGCCGTGGCATGTGTGGTCAGGTATGTCGGATGAGAAGAAAAACACTGAGCTACGCATCAAAAACGACGTAAAGACTTGGTGAACGAAGCAAACTTGCCTATCTAACACTTCTCCCTGCTGAATCTACAGCGGGGGAAGGCCGCACGCACATATAAACACACTCCTATGCTAATATCTTGGCAATTTTCATTTGTTTTAGGCTAATGTGGCCTGAAAATGTTAACATATTACCCAACCGTAGAACAGAATCATTGACTTTATGCAGGTACCATAGTTTAAATATCTATGCATGTTGAATGAACTGTGTGTTTAAAGTTGTGTGTTTGTCTTTTCCTTCCCTTAGTAATATTAAGCAGTTATCGGAGCAGTTATCGGAGCAGTTATCGGAGCAGTTATCGGAGCAGTTTCGCAGCGGTCCTGTGGAGATAAACTTGATGCCAAGCTTCAACTATTCTGATCCCAGTGCTGTGGCTCTAGAGGACTACAGGGCCTGGTTCAAACTGCATGGAAATCAGTTCCCAGGCAACTTAACAGACTGTGACATGGAAAAAGAGATGCAGCAGGTAAATATGAATAGTCAAATTGTGGTTTTCTTTGTATTTTGTGGGTGGTACATTAAACGTGGCACTCATGTTTGTGTTCAGGGTGTGGAGGGAACAGGCCTGGCTTTCATCGCCTTCACAGAGGCCATCTCTATCCTGCCTGGCAGCCCCTTCTGGTCAGCGCTCTTCTTCCTCATGCTGCTCAACTTAGGGCTCGGCAGCATGTTTGGCATAATGGAGGGAATCCTCGCCCCACTCACTGACCGCTTTGAAACACTGGCTCAGAACAAGATCAAGTTCCGAGGTAACAAAACACCTCATTGTGTCCTAAGAGAATCCCAATCAATGCAACTCCACTTTTCAAATAGTTATTGCTCAGCCTGGAGTCCAAGTGGCATCTAAACAACTAAGAGTCATGATCGAATTGAATGAAGATTGGACAACCTTTTGCACTTTAGTACACAAAGATCCAAAATGTTTCCTATTAAGTGCTTTTGGAGAATAAAATGTTACCTTATTACCCTGAAAGTCACAGCCAGTAGATCAGTGTCTTGTCTTTGAGCACTGACTAATCAGGATTTCAGAACCTAAAGCAGAGAGGCGGGGAAATTAGTAAAGGTACCCTCTGAGGTGATTCAGGAATTAACCATGAATGTATCCATTCTGCTAGTTTGCAGATGACTTTTAAAACGAAGCGTTCTTTTTGTTGTTTTAGTTTTCATTTGCATCATCGGCTTTATAATCGGCCTCCTCTTCACCCAGCGCTGTGGAAACTACTTTGTGATGATGTTCGATGATTACTCTGCCTCTCTGCCCCTCATCATTATTGTGGTTTTTGAGACCTTCAGCGTGTCTTGGCTGTATGGAGCTGATAGGTGAGGTCTATTTTCAGAGTGTGCGTAACTGCTTTAAAGGGCCCATGTCATGCTTTTCCGGTTATTACCCGTCCCCTTGTGTGTTATGAAGGTTTTTATGCATGTAAACGGTGTGCAGAGTCAAAACCCTCAAAGTACACCCTGTAGCGAGTAAAACTCTAACACAGAGAATACCTCCCCAAAACGCCTCGTTGGAGATACGTCATTGTCCATTTGATTCTTCCATTTCGTTCCGGGTACGGCATGATGTCATGCCGTACCCGGAACGAAATGGACCAATCCGTGGAGCCGTTACGTCCGCGGAGCCGTTACGTTAAGCCCCCGCTGATTAGTCCAAATTGACCAATCCACGGACTTCCTCACACACACATCTGTGTGCAGGGAGCAGGCAGCTCAGCTGATTTCTCCTCCCTGGCTGCAGGCTGATAACAGACCGTTGGGATCGCGGCGAAATTCTCTCTGCAGACCCATTCTCACAGCGTTTATCAACCTTTTTCTTACTCAATATCAAGCCACACTTATTGTTTTTACTTCGGCTGTGACTTTGAGTGTGCTCAGGATGAGTTTGGCTGTGTTTCGCTGTGTATCACTAAACAAGGAAACAACACCTCCACGGAGCTCAGCGCGATTCACAACGTCCCGACCAATCAGAGCACACTGTGCTCACAGGGAGGGTGGGGGCTGGAGCTTTGGGAGCTACAACGAGCCGTTAAAGGCAGAGAGTGAAATTCAGTGAATACACGTAGTTTACAGAGATGCTGTATGAGAAACCAATGTGAGTTTGGAAAATTGCACAATATAAATCTATTTTAGTATACCTCAACAATGGAATTATGATCAGTGGAAATGGCCATGACATGGGCCCTTTAACTTTGGACATATTATTTTCCATGCAGATCTCAACAAATCAGTTTAGTTCTCTTAATCCCATTAATGTTGGTCACAAATGTTTAATATGTACCACTCTGGGTGTCTGAAGGTTCCTGGATGACATTGAGGGGATGCTGGGCTGGCGTCCTCATGTGATCTATAAGTACCTGTGGAAATACGTCTGCCTGCTCGCTATGCTGGGGCTGCTGGGCGCCACCACCATCCACATGTTCATCCAACGCCCCACCTATATGGCATGGAACCAAGAGAAGGTATGTTAACCCTCTGCTCCATAGCTTCTCTTTGGATAACTGGATACACTGTACATTTTACATTTATATATTATAAGACAAACAGCCCTTAAAAAGCAAATTGTCACTCCTTACTAAATTCCCAACCTGAAGCATATAACTAATGGTTTATTTCTCTATGTATTTCTCTGAGTAGTGATAAGTTCCACTTGTTTCAGACCTTGCGTGATTTTGATTTTGATTCTATTTTCTCTTCTTCAGGGATCTGAGGAGTACCTCGAGTACCCGGACTGGGCTCTGGCTGTCATGGCCTTGCTGATCATATTTGCTGTGATGCCCGTCCCGATAGCATTGATTCACGCTGTCCTGATGGACCGGCGGACAAGACAAAGAGCCAGAGATTCAGCGGCCGGTCAGTACAGCATTGTTAGCACCGGCAACAATTGTGGAAGTCTGATGACTGACATGTCAGACCTGGACCAAAAAAAAAAGACTGCTGCTTCTGTTTCCTCAACACTGGACCTGAAGTTACACAAATGAATTGCAGAGAGAAGCATAGATATATATATAAACACTAGATGACTCGCCCGCGCTGCTGGCCAATGGAGACCGAAGTTGCCACATGGCGGCCATCTTGCCACAGGCAGCTCATTCATAACATTATGTCGATGGTGCACTATTGAAATAACCATAGCTTGCTCAATTATCAACCAATTTTCAAACGGTTTGGTTTGTTATAAACATCAAATATGTAGTTATGATGCTGCATACTTATAATTATAATCATGGACTTTTCTTTTTCAACATGTCTTGTTGTCTCCTGTATCATAGCCATGCTAATAACGTTTATAATAAACCAAACCGTTTGTAAATCAGTCAAGATTTCAGCGAGTTAAGAGTATTTCTGTGCAGATCACTCACCTTACAACAGCTGTAGCAGTAGTTGTTGACTGTGGCAAGATGGCCACCGGTGAGCTACGCTGGCGATTCCCCCTTGAGCCATCTAGCCTTTATATATATCTATGGAGAGAAGTACAACGTTCAGTGGACCATTTTGAAGTACATTTGAATAAGCTCACAGGTTCTTATTCCCACAATATTTGATTCAATAACATAAAATACAGCCTTTTATATCCATATGATACATATATCACAGCACAGAGTGACTGAATTCACTCGCAACAAGTTCATGAATAAATAAGTATTTTTAAAAATAAATTCAAACATGCTTCATCTATTTAACAAATTGTAATCTAGTATGCAGTGGAATATATGACATGCTAAAGAGTTTATACAAGCTTGGAAACTGCATTGTTACTGCAGTTAGTGGCCCAATTGACCTTGAATTTGAAGTGTCACAAAATGTTATGATAATCTGTGACCAGAAGGGAATTGTTTCCTTTAATTTTGACATGAATAAAATGGCATCGTCAGCAAAAAGCAATATGTTATGCTCTGTGTGCCTCACTGTTATTCCATAAAGGCATATCCAGACTTCTGCTGCCATGTAAACATCTGAAAAACTGTACATGAGGACAACATGTAGAGGTAAGGTGGAGATGTTCTTATTGACCTGTGACCTGCAGCTCTCTCTGACTGTATGCAGACCTTAGTGTGTGTTAAGTGTATCTGTAAAAGTCTAGAAGCACTTCCAGAACACATGCAGGCAGACTGATGCATGATGTTTAAGGCTATCGAGACATGTGTTAATGCAGCTGACTGTAAGTGTTTTGACTCTTATACACAGTGAAGAGTTTGCACATTTCTTTGTTTCTCTTTTATATTTTTCGGTCTTGAGCATTTTGGGTGTCCTTGCAGTCCTGCAGAAGGTGAGAGTGGGACACACACCGCCCTTACTGTAGTCAGCACAGAGGATCAAATATCACACTGTAAAGATGACTAAACAATGTAGCTTTCTAGATAGTGAATAGACATTGGAGATTTAAAGGGTGAATTATAAGTAATTGTTAAAAGAGGAAGCCCTCTTAATTATTTATACTATAATAACGTTTTTTGAGGGAAATGTGGCATCTATCTGAACCATCATCAGTAGATAAGTTTGATTTGATATCTTTGTCTTAAGAACCCCTTGGGTAACTGTATTCTGTTATTTTTCATATTTAAATAAAAAATCAACGTGTGTTCTTGTACATCTAGTACTACATTTTTTGTTTTACATAGTAGTTGATTAAACGTCAACACTTTCTGTGGCCTTTTTATTTTGTATTGAAGCAGTACATTAATGTGTCAGCAGGGAGCTCTGTTGCACTCACGTTTCTCTGCTCAACATGTCAGGTTGTGTGACCTCTGCAAAAACATTTAAGCTCTCACTTGTTGGCCTTTTTCATACAAGGTGGCTTTTTCCCCCTTTTATTACCTAAACAAAAACGGCTTTCACCGAGAATGAGCAAGAAACCACAGTCACTTTAAGAATAAAGCCTATAAAAGCTTTCAGAACATTGTGCCAGAGCGCTGAAGGAGAGCCTCTGAATTCCCTTTGTCAGGCTGCTTTACTTGTGTAAGCTATTTTCTACATGTGTGTGCTTGTTAGGAAGAGTACGCACAGGTGTCCCTTGGAAATATTATCAGGTGTCCGGGGAGTTCAGTTGTCGTGGATGCAGTCTCTCTTCAGTCAGCCAGAAAGGACCAACACCCGGCAGAGAAACACGACATCCTCGCTTCCACATCAGGTAAGTAAATAACACAAGATTTATTTGTAATAATCAAACTTGCCTTTGCATTACAGTGAATGTGTTTGTGTGTGGGATAGGCTTTGCGTTTCAGTGGCCTTTTTCAGAGTAACACCTGACTGATAAACAACTGCAATATTGGGTGAAGATTTTGGTGACGCCCATGTCTTTAATGTGTTATAAACACACGTCTAATGCATTATTAGCTGGTTATAGCACTGTAATTAACTTAAAAGCACTCGTATTGTTTATCATGATGGATTATAAAGAATGTTATATGGACTCACATGGTCAATTATCATAAAACATCATATTTGCTGATAAGTCACAATTGTTTTGCAGATTTTATTATAATTCCAACAATTTATTCATGATATAATACATTTAAAGCTGGTTATAAATCACTATAAGTGTTCATTGTTTGCTCCAAGTTGTGAAAAAAGTTCATATTTAACCTAAGAACAACACACATTGTTGTTGTGAAATGAATGTATTTGCTTAAATCTTAACAGGGATTGAGTGAAACTGAATGATCAGCATCAACAGTTTACTGATGTAATGTTTCCTCATGTCTTAAGACTCAAAAATATAAAGCATTATTGACATGGGCGTCCGAGAAGGTGTTTTCCAATCTTGTTTTGACTGTTATTGATTTACATGGCTACGTAGGAAAGAGCAGCCAAGAGAAATCATGTATATTTGTATTTTTTTCTATTTTTTTTGCAGGTGTATCAATTTGAATTTGCAGACGTACGGTCTAACCCCCCCATGGCGGGCCTGGCAGCTCTGTGTCTGCTGCTGGTGTTTCCACTGAGCCACTCCCAGAGCTCCCAGAGCTCCCAGAGCTCCCTGCAGTCGCAGCAGGAGGTCGACTCCCATCAGGGAGCGCCTCCTCCTCCTCCTCCTCAGCGATACATAATGAACCTGCTCAGGAAAGAGGAAGCTACTCATTTAAACGCAAAGCAGACATGTAAGTGGAAAAATAAATAATGTAAGTAGAACTGGATCGATGGAGTCCCTGAGAGGAAAGGGGTGATCCATTTTAATTAATTTTCCAGTTTTAAGTCTTATTTAAATGTTTTCTCCTCTGTATTTGACTTAAAACAGGTGGAGATGTTTATGCAAGGATAGTTTCCTTAAGTCTCTTAAACTCACAAAAAATAATATGTGAAACTGTTGGAAAAGTTAACCAGGGTCATTTTTATAATTTCCTTTATTTTTTATTACTAAAATCTGGTGGGAAAAACTGTTTTGAGAGGTTTTTATTGTCAGAAAATGTTTGTAGTAATACAAAAGAGACACAAGAGGATACACCACTATCCCATGTTCTAAATATGATGGAAAATAATTGTGTTATCTTCCAGGTGAGCTTACATTTCTCCATGATTACAGCAACACTTTTCTTTTTACCATGCATACTGTATATGTCCCACCTGCTTTACAGAATAATCTGCTTTTGGGAACTATAGACAGATTATAATGTTATCAGCTTTTCCCCACATCTTCTTAAACACTTTAAAAAACAGTTTAGATCAGACTTAGAGAATGGATCACAATAATAATAAAAAAGAGTCTCTCAATTGCCACTCAGAGCTTCTGTAAATATCCATCCTGCACAGTGATAATGACACAGAGTGGCAGCATATGGCTCATGTGTGAAGACCTTGACTCTGATGGTCTTTGTTCCTCCACAGATGTCCAGGTAGACCAAGACAATGCCAAAGTGGGTCTGTTCGTCGCTGCAGCCGTAGGAACCTTAGCTCTGATGGCTGCTGTGTACTGTATCTACAACAAGTTCTACTCCAAACACCAGTACCTGCACACCCAGCTCAACGATGACTCGGGTAGATTAATACATTTTGTAAATTAAATTATAATTGCATTAGCGCTTCTTTCAGTCTCACACTTGAGGCAACGGCAGCACTATGGCATCAAATTGGATTGCCTGGAGGGACTGTCAGAAATCTGTACGGTTGTAAAAATACACACGTCTAATCTGCCTTCAAAGAAACACTACAACAGAGAAAGCTGAAACAAAAGTGACGGCAAGGAGTATAGAAACTTCTATCACGGGGTAATAAAAGGAAGCTAAAATACAGACAGTTTCTTCGTCAGCAGACAGAGAGAGACTTCCATCCAGAGAGAAAACTGGACTTCTGATATTTTTACTCTCCTGTCTCTTGGGAGTCATTTGATGAAAAGCATCCGGCCTTGTTATTAAACACGGGGCAGGCTGTGTCGTATTTATTTAAATAACTTCTTATTACTGAAATTCCTGCTTAATGCTTTTTATAGTAAAGGAATAAATTATCTTGCTTAATGAAGCCTTAATATTAGAAATACAACAGCAAATGTGTATACACAGTAGATATAAATACAGTTACATAATTGATCATAATGTTTTTATAAAGCTCTTCATGGTTTTATAACCTGTGATTTATTTATATATATAAAAACACATTAAAGGGGCCCAATTATGCTTTTGGGGTTTTCACTTTCCTGTAGTGTGTTATATACGCCAACATCCCTGTTCCCTCCGGAGGGAGTTTCTCTCCCACACATGTTAGATATCATATGTAACACTTACAATTCTATTGGTTAGCGCTCCAACATATTGTACATTGCTGGTCATCTCTAAGCGGTTGACCAATCACAACAGAGCCGGCCAGCTAACCAATCAGAGCAGACTGGGCTCTGGTTTCAGACAGAGGGTGAAAAGAGGTGTTGCTGCACAGGCAGTATGAGAACAATAAAGAGCTTTTTGAACATTAAAGCATGGAGACATGTCACAGTAGAGACACTACATACACATATGAACCTGAACAGATGTGCTCTGTAAACTTCAAGTGACTGTCCTCATGTATCTGTCTGCAGATTTCAGCACAGACCCCATGGACCCTCCCCCCGTGTGTTTCCACACCTCCGCCGGCTCCAGTGTGGTAGACGTGCAGAGAGCTGGTTACGGCTCGCTCTCGGACACTCCATCCATCATCTCTGTGCCACCCAGCCTGTCCCCCCCTCCCTCTGCCATGCCCTTCCCTCCCCTCTTCCTCTCCTCTCACTCTCTGAGAACTATATCAGCCAAGGACCTGGAGAAGAGCTGTGCCTAATGTTATAAACTAGAAACTAAGCTAGTGAGACTTTTTCTAATAAGAAAAGAGAAGTAGTTGTTTAGAAATTTGTATCACAATAACTAAACACATCAGATCAATTTGCAGTTTGCATGCTAATGGCTTTGCACATACATCCCTAGACAAGCAGTTACCTAAGTTACCTGTAAGCTGTAGTCACCTCCTGACTGGCTGCCCTTTCACTCATAACCACCCTCAAATCTGCTCGTACATTTACACAGCTACAATAAACTACATTATTCTTGCGTCCTATCTGACACCACCCATCCTTTGTCTATAGTATAGT